ACCACCACCCCAGCTCCCCCCTCCTGACAGACACACACCGAGCCTCTTATTAATTACAGTCATTATTCTAATCATATACAAAAGCGGCTTGAATACAGGTGTGTGTGCTGGCAGACAGACGTGTTCGTGTGGATCCATAAAAGTTGAGGCTGGATGAAGAGGAGACAGAGCCTGCGTTGCTTAGCAATATCCACTCAGGACTTGATGGATACTGTAAAGTGTGAGCAGCATCACATCGAGGGGGGAAATATAACAAGTTACTTTATGATGAAGCCAATAAGGGCAAGGTGGCTGCAGCAGAGGCACATCATGCTAAAGAAGTCAAGTCTGGTGGTCATGCTGCTTTATGAAGGGCTTTCACATTGAGGACGAAGTTGAATAAATTGTTGTCTGATAATGGAAGCACACCGGCCTCGGCTGCTACTGCCACAAATACAATATAAAGACCTAGAATTTTCTGAAGGAATACTTATCATTTGTAGCCTTTTACATTCATCATTTAAAGTTTTGGTTATTTCTTTAGCATCATGACCTGATACGATACTGCAAGATGTCCCGCTTAGAGTATGTGCTGGGAATGACTCTTAGCTTTAACCACACCAGATTTTAGAACAATATCTGTAAAAAGAATTGTAGAAGTGTTTGTGCTTTCTAAGGTCAGCTGCATGCTGAACTTGGTTGACTCTAAAAGTAGTTATTTGAAGATACTCAACCCATGTTTTTTGTTTGTTTATAAAATTTAGTTTGCAAGAATTTTTATCTTTTTTTTTAGCTCTGCTCAAATAATGTCAGTCAATCAACATCAGTTTATCGCTTTACTTCAAACTGAAGTTACAGGTAAGCTGTTATTTGTTCACAGCCTTTACAAATAACCTGACTTCGAGATTAAATTAACTATAATTAAACCTCAGAAAAGTACATCTGTTTTATGACTTGAAAAACTAAATTAAAATTTAATCTCAGCCCAAAGCAGGTTCTGTTCACATTTGCACCTCCTTTTCTCTTTAAGCATCGAACACCGTCTAGTCCAGAGATGCCCAAAGTGGGGCCCGCGGGCCAAAACTGGCCTGCCAAGCCATTTGATTTAGCCCACCAGCAGCTGTCCTGGCAAATAAGTTGTAATCTCCTGTCTTATGTAGAAACACTACATTTCCTCTCAGTCTTTTCAACCATTGGTCCAACTATATAAGGAACTGTAGTTCAGATAGTCTTAACTCATAATACTTGATTTATCTTTGATTTATGTTAAGATTAAACATAAAATGCAAGTGACTAAAAGAGACATTAACATTACATTTAAGCATACATCTAGATTTGCACACTTTGCTGATAGCACGGTTCGGCAGAATTTGTCCACACTGTTTGTCTGATTGGATTTGCCACATTTAGAGGTACCAGCAGACATTAAAGCAGATTGAAAATTGATATTGTCTGCCTGGCCCAGAACATTCTCTTCTGTTCCCAAACAACTGATTACAGAATTTGGCTCTCCCCTACACGGCCTTGAGCTGTTGAACTAAATTCTTCCTGGATGTTTACATCGACTGACGGTCTGCCCCACACCTTCCCCCCTCTCACACCCGTCTGTGATGTGGTTCCTGGAGCAAGCTGAGGGCTGCACAGAATGAACAGTTACCATCAATATTCTGAACTATGGCTGTGCGGGCTTTGGGGACTCGATTCTTCGGGCTCATTCTTCAGATATTCACACAAGTGCACACAACACTCATGGCTTCCGATACACGCCCCCCCTAAACTCATTTACTCCTCTGGCTAATAAATGTGCTCTATGCAGAGGTTTTTTTAAATACCATAGTGTGTCACATTTGTTGATATAATATGATGTTTTTTTCCTCATCTTCCCTTGTGTGGTTTTTAGTTTTTTCTGTTAAGGGTAGCGCCTCCTCATGATGTCTTCATGAAGATGATCCTTGCTCTGTGCAGGGTCTGTGGCTGCATGACCCAGAGCACCTGTTCTCCTATGTTTGTTATGTTCTGTCTTCTTCTGAATGGGTGTTCTGAACTGTAATTTCATTGTGTTCTGTACAATGACAATAAAGGTCTATCTTATCTTATCTTATCTTATCTTATCTTATCTTATCTTATCTTATCTTATCTTATAAGACCACAAATATTCAAATTTTAGTTCATGAAAAATTCCATGAGCCTTTGCTTCCCGAGCATACGTCAAATTGTCTCCACGTCCATGGGCAGAAAAAAAATGTGGGCCACCGCACTGGCTGCTAGCAATGATCATAAAATAAAAACTTTACTTAAGAAGTATTTGCATTTCATGTATTATAATATTGCATTTGGCCCGCGGCCCTCAGATCGATTTTAATTTTGGCCCTCTCAGGGAAAATGTTTGGGCACCCCTGGTCTAGTCACAATCTGACAGGTCACTGTGGTGTTTGCGCTTTACATTCATCTGAGGAAATTTCCAGAACCTCATACCAACAAAACCTCTCCAAACAGAAAGGATGTGGCCTGAGTTCAGCTTCAGTT